TTTGACTCGCTTGTCTGTTTTATTTCTGCTAATATTTATCCTGTTCATGTAGTAATTAGTCTGTCCCTCTCCATGCAAACACAATGATGCAGTCGGAGAAAGAATCGTTTTTCTGCCACAACGCGTTTCATTTTTATTAGAAACTCCTCTAAAGTCAATAACGAAAAGTCAACAGTGCTGGTTGTACTTCCACTTTATTGTGCTTTAAATATTAAATAAGCAGGGGTTGTCAGAGGTTTGTATCTAACCCTGACTCTTCTGATCAGGCAAAGAAGTAGTTTGAATTTTACTCTGTAAAACGTGCTCAGGTCGGAAGACACAAGATTGCTAAAGCCTCACTGAGATTGAAGTTTTTCTTTTTTTATCAGCGTCATGCACAGCTATCACACCACCGGTGCACGGCAACCTCACAGCTTTCAAGGGGCTGGTGAGTGTTAAAAATGTGCAATTTTGATGCAAGAATGTTACGTGAAAGTCATGCTGCGGTGTTTTATTGTTGCATACGCCCAGCAGATCGTGGCCTACATAGAACTAGAGTCGGTGCAACATTTGTGCAGTTCAGTGGGATTCCAAGTGAAAATGATCATATTCTCTCCCAGTTTTGTCTCCAAAAGTCACAACACATTGAAATATAGAAGAAGTATTTGAAGTCAGGATGCTGTCCTGTTGACGTGAGATGGGAATTATTTGCACCTCATTGGATTACTATTCAGAAGATGGCATTATAATTATCTTGAAACTGGAATTATTATTTTACTTAAATAAAGATTTATATATTTTTCGGTGACAGGAGGTGCATTTTACACTTAGGCCTTCAATGGTGTCCTGCCTGAATTTATCTACTTCCTACCGTCATTATGACGCCACGGCAACAAAAACCTTTAATACACAGAAATAATAAGGTGTTGCAAGAAACCCAACAACACAACTCAACAAGTTTCCTTCAGCTGCACCACATACATATTTACCAAAAGCATCAATATGGACGTGATAAATGGAAAAATATAAAATATTTAATGAAAATACATTTTACTCACCAAAGGATTTGACAATCTGAACACAAACTCTATCCTCCTTTGTTTCCTCAGTCAGGGTTCAGTTCCTGTCCTACAGGTCATCGTGATGTTTCAGTTTCAATAATAAGTCGATGCAGTGTCCTAGCTCCAACCAATACGCTCCCTGACCGTCCAATCAAACAACATACAGATGATGACGTCTGGTGCCTGCTAGAAGACCCTGGCATCGCCAGCCTAACATCTGACTGGTCAAAGCAACTGCATTGCCATTTGATTTTACCTACATGGGCCTGCACTGTTGATCCTGAAGGCCTCGAGGCAGATTTCTTTGACCCCTAGCAACAGATGATGATTGAAATATGATTGGATAAAAGCTCTATATAAACATGAAGGTGCACACCCAGGAGAAAAGCTATGAAATGAAGCGAACAGACACTTCAGAATAATATTAATAATCCATCCATCCATTATCGTTACCCACTTTTTCCTTTTCGGGTCGCAGGGGTCACTGGTGCCCATGTCCAGCCATCACTGTGCGAGAGATGGGAGACACCCTGGACATGTCTCCAGGGACACATAGAGACAAACGAGACAAACAACCATCCACTCTCTCACTCACACCTAGGGACAATTTAGAGTTACCATTCAGTCTAACATGCATGTTTTTGGTCTGTGGGAGGAAACCAGAGCACCCAAAGAAAACCCACGCATGCACGGAGAGAACATGCAAACTCCACCCAGAAAGGCCCCCGGCAGGGATTTGAACCAGGGCGACCTGCTCACTGAGAGGCAGCAGCCCTACCAACTGCACCACTGTGCTACCCATAATATTAATAAATAAAATTATATAGTAAAACGTAAGTTAGTGAATCTGATTGTGTTTAGGCCAGCAGAGAAGGCCTTGCTGTCCCTGATGGTCCACTGCTGATTTCCATGCCTAATGAAAAGTGCATGATAACATAAGTTGAAACAATCTCTTTTAATCACAGGCTGCTGACCAACAATTAGCATAGATGCTAACCGAACATTGAAACACCACAGGAAAGCTAATGACATTGGCATTGTGTTTGTCACTGGATATATTAACACAAATCAAATGTTCCTAACTCCTTGCTAAAGGCTGATGTGTTATAACTTCAACTATTATTTATAAAATTAACATTTTTCATTGTTCTTCAAAGATGGGATGAAAAAGATGTGGAAACACGCAGCTTTACTGCATCATGTTTCAACTACAGGAACTCTTCAAGGCACAACTCTGCTGACTCCTAAAGTGTCAGCACAGATTAACGTTAACAAAACTGATTATTGACATTTGAAAACTGACTCGGAATCATCCGTGTCCGTGAAATTATGCATCTAAAACAAGAGAAATGGCATTTTTTTGTATCAAGAAAACTGAAATGCTGAAAGACATCAGCTGAAAAAGTTGAAACTGAGTTCAAGCTTAAAAAAAAGAACACTAGCTTAAAGCTAAATCTAGCATAATGCTAACTAAAAGCTTGAAAAAGACCAAGAGTAGCAAGTGTAGCTAAATCTATAAAACCTCATTACAGCTGTTAAAAGGTTAGCTTTTAGCTAGAACCTAAAAGTAACATGTAAAAAGTAGAGCATATTTGTTTAAGCTGAGGGAAAATAAAATTGTTCTTTGAAGTAACTGACGAGATCTCTCAACATTTTACTGAGTCTTGTAGATTAAAATTGTTTTTAAATATTCAATTCAGTTTATTTGTATAGTGTAGGCCTGTCACAATAACAAATTTTGCTGGGTGATTAATTGTCTCAGAAATTATTGCGATAAACGATATTGTTTGAAATTTGACAATAATTATTGTCAAATTTAAGAAGAAATGTTTGAGTTTGTTTTGTATGTAGTACCTTTTTTAACCATCGGATGGCAGTATATGACTGTTTGAACCGGAGGATGGATAGTGAGGGAGCGAGCAGCGTGTCTCTTTAAAAATGGGAGGGATGCCCCTTGACGTGACATGGGTTGTCTCTTCAGTTCTCAAAATGGCGGACACTGTGTGGTTGGACACTCTGTGTGGTTTGAGCTTTTTAGCATAGTATTTTGCACACAAAGCTTTGAATAAAAAAAAAAAAGAACAAGTTCTCAGCTTCTTTTTGCAGAGAAAAACAACTTTTTAGACTAACGGGTTTCAACCGTGAATTCTGGAGCTTTGACAAGACGGGAGGTTTTTCCCCAAGGTCGGCCTGTTAGCTTAGCTTCTCAGCTTAGCTGCTTTTAACAATCCAAAAATGCAGTTTTGGACGGTTAAAACGGATTTTAAAGAGAAAGGGAGGGGTCAGTGAAGAGCACCGGAGTTGAGCTTTTTGTCATCCAGTGTCTTCAGTAGAAAGAGACACGAAGAAACGATAAAGCCGATAAATGAAAATGAGATTGATAATTTTCATTGATCATGCGATTAATTGATTTATTGTGTATCGTGACAGGCCTAATATAGCGCCATGTCACAACAGTAGTCATCTCAGGGTACTGAACATATTGAAATTAGAAAAACCAAAAGCAATCGTTTGATTTATGAATGCTCAAATAACTGAAAGCATGCAGGTGTAGGTTGCTCAAAATGTGCATAAAAACAGGAAATCTGTCGTTTGAATGCTGAACCAGCTGACACAGTGATTTCTTTCTCTGTAACAAACAAACGGGAACAACGCTGAAGATGTTTTTATTCTCACCCACCTGACTGAGAAGGTGAAAATAGTGACCGTTTGATTTGCTGCACATCGACACTAAGCCGAGGTTTATCACGTTCACCAAAGGGTTCGCTTAAAAACATGAAATCACTGATGCTGCTTGAAGTTATGACTGGTCACCCAACTCTGGGCTGGGAGCACAAACCAGAACACCCCCGCCTTTACATCCACCACCCATGAATGCAGGGGCTCCCAAACAGACCTCAAACCTGCAGAGGGACAGGATTGGTGGTTTTGTAATAAAACATCCCATTCAGCTTGTATCAGATTACCTATCTGATTTCACATTTGGTGAATTTTAGCATCATATTTTCCTGAGAGCGGGGGGGGGGGGGGCAGCTATGCTGCAGCCCTGAGATCCCAGCCAATGCACGCTGTTACCATAAAGCAAAAATCTGCCGCCTCAGCATAATTTCATGCCGACGTTGACGTTTACCCTAAAGCACGCCTGCAGACAGGTGCAGCCGAGCGTGGCTGCAGTCCTGCTGTAATTATATTAGTTGGATCAATAAAGTAAAAGTGAACGATTCTCTCAGTTTGTTGCCAGCTTTAATTGATTGACCATCCTCCAGTCCTCAGGGTTATAAATAGACCTGAAAGACACTGATGGATGGTTTATCTTTGCAGCTATAGATCTGAGGCAGACCATTCCTCTTCTATCAGTCACCACCTTTTATCGCCCCCCCCCCCCCCCCCCCTCTTTCCTGCTGTCCTTCCTTCACTCTCAAACCATTTCCATTTAGGGTATCCGTGCCCCGCTGGCAGCAGCCAGGAATGTGCGTGTAGTGGTGGATGCCTGCGTTGTACTCCAGCGTGTGTTTTTTTAACGTCCGTAACTTAAACAAATATCTTGCGGCGTATTTTGTGTGTAAAATACTTGGACGGGCTTCCATACGAAACAGTTGGTCTTTGTGCGAGCGCTTCGATGTGTAGGTGTTGGCGTGTCAAAGGTGGTTAGTGTGCGGAGGCGTTTGTGAGTGTGTGTGCGGGCACAAGACACTCGTGGTTGTACAACACACAGAGCACGGAAGCATCTGACCCTCAATAATGGATGTGGCTGCAGTGAATATTTAATAGGCCGTGGCTGTAGATACATGCACCCTTTTACACAAGAGGGAAAAGTTCACATTTAGCATCCGCATCTTTATGACTTTTAGGGTGAAGCGTGACGGGGAGCGGTGTTTTTGGGTGGTGCACTCAGGAACAAAATATAGCTTCAGCTGCCTCCTCACTCTTCTCCTCTTTATATTTTCTGTGTTTTAACAGGGCTCTCAGGATAGTGCTGGCGGTCAGGAGGGACTCGTGCCCCCACCTTTCTCTGCGTTCCCACCACCTCCACCGCCGCCCCCTCAGAACGGCCTGGCCCTGGATTACGGGAGCAGCCTGTATGCAGCAGGGGCCGTGCAGGGCCCCGTGGAAGCCGGTGGAGCCGGAAACAGCGCAGCCAATCCTGCTAACAGCCTCAGTGTCCAAGTAAGAGCCGATGTCTTCCTCAGTGTTCAGCCCACATCAGGAGATAAACGGCTAATATCTTACCTGCTGTAGATAGCGCTCATAGGCCTGTCACGATAACTAATTTTGCTGGGCGATTTTAATTGTCTCAGAAATTATTGCGATAAACGATAATATTGTTTGAAATTTGACGGTAATTAGGAATGCGCGATATAAACGGTACACGGTAGAAACGATAGAAATGTAGCCTACGATAGAGATCTGTCTTCTACCGGCTAACCACAGTAATGCTGTGTCTGATGTAAAATCAGAGTTTTCAGTTTAATCGTTACTTTTTTTAGTTGAAAACTGTGCGCAAGTGGTGTTCAAGTGTAAAATCAGAGCTGTCGTATTTAATTGTTACTTTTTTTTAGTTGAAAACTGTGCGCAAGTGGCGTTAAAGTCTTTTCTTCGAGAGTTAAGTAGCGAAGCTACAAGCTAACTACGGGCGGCTTGCCGTAGTGTTGCCGTATTCAGGCGCATGCGCAAAACGCTGTGTTCCGTTGAAAGTTTTTTTTTTTTCCCCCATCGAAAGTTAAAGTAAGCGTTGGTCATCTTTAGAGAAACCTGCTCTCTGATCTGTGAAAAGAACGCTGTGTTGTGTGATTTTACTGCGAGACCCTCTGGTCAAAGCCACAGACTCATTTTGTGTCAGCTCTCCATTAAAGCTGAAGGCGTCGCCCACTAGAGGGTTGGAGGGTGAAGTGTTTTCAGTTGCTGCTCTGTTGCTGTTCATTTCTCAAGTGAGAAGACTGGAAACTGTTACGTTAACAACATATTCTTTTGTATAAAACATGTGGCTAAAACTATGTTTTATATATTTTGCACTGTTTTGCACTACAAGAAAGAAGCCTAATACTTGATTTGTTTATTATTTAAAAACTCTCTGGACCTAGTAGTGGAATTTTCTTAATTCAAAATATGTGATGGCAAAAGGACACCCTGTGCTTTTTAAAATTCCTATTAAGTTTTATACCAAAAACATATTGCGATATATATCTTTATCGCCACCTTTCACAATACATATCGTGATATGAATTTTATGCCATATAGCACATTCCTAGTAATTAGTAATTATTTTTTCCCTAAAACAAGATTTTGGACAGTTAAAACGTATTTTAAAGAGAAAGGGAGGGGTCAGTGAAGAGCACCGGAGTTGAGCCTTCTGTCATCCAGTGTCTTCAGTAGAAAGAGAGACACAAAGAAACGATAAAGCTGATAAATGAAAATGAGGTTGATAATTTTCATTTATCATGCGATTAATTGATTTATTGTTTATCCCGACAGGCCTAAGCTCTCAGCTGGGAGGAATAAAAATTGATGAGCTAACAGCTAGTCCTAGCAGGACTGAGACCAAAGTAAAATAGTGCCACCTTAAATAACTTCTCAACTGTTAAAAATATAAACCTTTCCTCTGTCAGTGATTGTTTACATCAAATTCTATAATGATTTGCATCCACAAATAGCAGCTGGTAGCTGTAGCACTTCCTCTGCAGCCTCTGGATTATTAGAATATATTTTCCATAATAACCTATGTTTATGGGATAATGGTAAACGTGCATCGTTTAAATGCTTATGCTGTTAATTGCACTGCTAATAGATCATAGGTTGAAGTATTTCTGTCAGTTCTGTTTAAAATTTAGTTGGTGTGAACCAGTGGTTCCTGGGCCAGTCACAGTCCATAAACTTGTATCCATTTAGTTCATAAAGTATTACATTTCTAATAACTTTCACATGATCCCATATGCTAATCAGTTGTAGCTGAGTTCAGACACAGCAGTGTCTTAGCCAATCAGAGGGCTCGCTCAACGCAGGCTATTAGATTTACCAACAATTGAAATTGTATTGGTGATGTGACGCATGGTTAGACTGTCTGGATGAAAGTTGGAGGGCAGAGCTTCAAAGTTCAAACGCAGATATTTAATTTATGTTCACCACCAACTTTAACTTTAACTTTTAGATCAGACCAACAAAGTCCATGCTCAATAACCCAGGTATACAATCCAACATTTTTCAGTCAGGTCAACTGGACAGTTTCTTTATTTTTTCAGATCAGACCTTTCCTGTTTTGACCCATATGTCTGTGGATTATTGGATTTCCAGCTGTTGAGGAGTAATACCAACTGGGGTACAAAACTGTGCTTTGAAGAAACAGCATACAAGCATCTAAGATATACGCTATTACATTATTAGTTTTTAGTGTATATCTTGGATCCTTATATACTGTTTCTTTGTATATTTTATATTTTTGCTATTTTTGGGTGTAACTGGGACCTTCAGTACACAATTTTGTTCCACCTCATGCACCACATGTGATGAACGACAATAAAGAACCTTGATTATCACGTTGAACACAACGCTGATTGCTATTTGCTTAAGAGAATACTCCGTCAAATTAAATACACTTCAAGCAAAGTAGGGAACATGGTATCGACGTGCAGGCAGGATAATAAAGCAGGAAGTTGAATCAAATGCAACTGAACTTCTTCGTGATTTTTCAAAGAATCAGAACATTCAATAGTTCCCGTTTCTTCAATTCACCTTGTGCGCGCCGACAATAAAGCTTCTGAATAAATAACGGACCGCAGACAGCATTGTCACAAAGCTGTGTGCAATAACCGTTTGCATTTGTTGTAATAAATCAGCTGAATGTGGAGCAGTTTACCTGCAGCACATGCTGTGAGTGCACGTCACAGCACAGCAGACGGTCAGAACTGGAACCAGTCCACACGCTCAGTCGGACGTGCTTCTGCTGACAGAAAGCGACTGTTTCACGGTTGTTCAAATTGCTGAAACGAGCAGCATGTGTGGGTGTTCACTCATTTCCATATACTCAAAAGTTTCCCTCTGGTTTTTTTCCTGACGCATTAATTTTGTTTAAAGTGATGTTCAACTCTGTTAGCTCCAACTTCAGCTCTAATGCACGTGTAGAGCTGGAGTTGACGTCATGACTCAGTTTTATAATAATGGATCAAATGTTGCAACAAAGTAATTGCTTTATAAGCATTCATTTTAAATAATTATCTATAAAACGTGATGGATTGATTAATTAGAAATATGATCTGCTCATTAGCATACAATTATCGTCAATGTAATCATTTTCTTGTCTTTTTTTAATCTCTGCAGTCAGATGGGTCCTCACAGATCGAGTCTGGAGTGGGCTCAGGTGGAGGGGGCGGTGGTGGGGGTCCCGGGGAAGATTCAGATGCCAAGGGGACCCCCAAACGTCTCCATGTGTCTAACATCCCCTTCCGCTTCCGAGACCCTGACCTGCGGCAGATGTTTGGGGTATGTAGATTAATATATAATATATATTTATTTAACTCTTAATCATGACGCAGCATCTGCAGCTTTGGACTAAAACGTTGACTTGACTTGGTTTAAAGTCACTGATTTTTTTTTTTAGATCTTCAAAAGAAAAGAATAAATAAAAAATAAGGTTCTTTCATTTCTGTTTCTGCTCCACTTAACTAAAAATAATTTAGATGCAGGCGGTCCTTGTTCAGGATTCGATCCCTCGTGGCAGGTTATTTAAGGAGAGATGTGCTCTGGAGCTGTGCTGTTTAGGAAGAGAAATGCGTCTAAAATGCTGCTGAGGAAGAGCAGAGGGAGGAAGAGTAGAGGGAGGAAGCTGGCTGACTCAATCTCCTCCTGACTGCTCAGTGCTGCCTCCCTGTGGTCAGAATGGGACATAAACCTGCTCCTCATCCTCTTCTGTTGTTGTTTCAGCAATTCGGCAAAATCCTTGACGTGGAGATCATCTTCAACGAGAGGGGTTCCAAGGTAGGCTACTGTGTGTGTGTGTGTGTGTGTGTGTGGGGGGGGGGGGGTGTTCAGGACTTGTGAATAAAACTAAGCCCTCCTCCTCCTCCTCTCCTGTCAGGGCTTTGGTTTTGTCACCTTCGAGTTGGGTTCGGATGCAGAGCGGGCCAGAGAGAAGCTCCACGGCACGCTGGTGGAGGGACGTAAGATCGAGGTAAGCCACCACCCCCCAGACCTGTAGCCATTCTCTCTCCCCTTCCTCCGCCCCCCACCCCTCCATGTCTTAACGACAGTGAGTACATTCTGCCCCAGAGAAGGTTTCGGGGCGGCTGCTCTGTGTTCAGCTCTACTCCTCCTGGCTTCACTGCAGCATGGTGCCGCGCGCTCTCTCATACGGCGGCACTTCCTGTCGATGTTGTTGTTGGTGTTGTGGCACCTTGACCTTTAAAACCTGTGGTTTGCAAAGCTTGCTGGGTGAAGCTGCTCCACGGCACGGCATGGCTGGTGAGACGTCACGGCGACAGCATGCAGGATCCTTTTGATTTTCTGTTTTCCTGCACTTTTTCCATCCCCATCATCACGTCTTCCATGACCATGGCGAGCGCCCGTATTTGGTTGACGTTTTGACCAGGGGGTGGGGTAGCTAATGGCCTCGGTTGTTTTTCCTCCATGTGGGGGGGAATAAAATTAAAGTGCCTGCTGGAAACTGCTGTATGTCGCATGGTTGACCCACGAGGTCAGAATTCACTGCAGACGTTTGTCACTCTTTCACTGCGCGACTCACCTGGTCTTTTTGTTTTTTTTTGTAACGTTTGGTGTGCTCAGAGATCGATGCATGCTGGGGGCGTTTTAAGTGGCTGGAGAATGGGGGGGTGGGGGTGGGGATGAGACTGCTGTGAGAAGTGTGGTGTCATTTCTGACTTTTCTCAAATCAAACAAAAGTTCTGAACATGCAAGCTGGATGGTTAAATGAACTGTTTGCACACACCTTGCACCAACTACTGGGAAAACACCAGATCTCATGGAAGTGCATTTTGTTTTGACTTGTTTTTTTTATTTTTATTATTATTATTATTTGTACGTTTGTTTTAATTTGTCAGCATGAGCTTGGATTATGGTTGCAAATGGCCTCGGAGGTGAAAACACGGTGTCATGCTTCTGCCATTTGCTCTGGCTCTTGATCCTGAATCCTGCTTCTGATTGGACTCTGAGTGCTGCAGCTCTTCTGCATGGGTCTGGAATGTCCTGCACTGTGTGTGTGTGTGTGTGTGTGTGTGTGTGTGTGTGTGTGTGTGTGTGGGTGTGTATGGGTGACGATCGCTTTCCTCCAATTCACTTTACAAATGGAGGGCGTAGAGAGAAGTCTATAGAATGTCACAGATAGCTGTCGTTCCCTCTCCTTTTTTTGTTGCATAGGTTCTCCTCCATCTCTTTTGTCTCTCTTTCACTAAGCCAGTCTGTCTGTCTGTCTGTCTGTCTGTCTGTCTGTCTGTCTGTTTGTGTCTGTCCGTCCGTCCACATACACACCTGGTTTTCAGCTGTACATCCCCACCCCTTCATATGTTCATGTCCCTGTCCAGGTAGAGATTTGAGTTTTTTTTTATATATATGTCAGATATTTGAATATTTCCCAGCATCCTTAGCGTTTCTTTTGTCCTTTCATTTGTTTCAACTTTATTTTTGTCCATAGAGGGTTCTCAGAGGTCAGGTTGTTGGCTGATACTTGTAGGTTGACATGTGTTACATCACTTCCTCTCTACCACAGGGTGGGGGGTGTGGTTGCTTTTCATTACGTCGTTTTGTTTGTTCACCCCCCTTCTTATTTATTTATTTATTTTTTGTTGGTTCACCATTTTGTTTTGTTTTTTTCCACGTATTTTCTCGATCTCCCTGATGATTTTTGTATGTTGTTGTTGTTGTCAGTCTCCACGGTAACTGCTCGCGTGTCCTCACGCCGTTCCCCCGGCCACGGTAAGTTGTGTACACATGGCATCATCTTTGAATGACCCCTCCCCCCCACACCCCATTCGTCCAAATGGAGACATAAATAAATATCTAAATAAATAAACATGCACCCAAACAATGAAGGACTCCTGTTTGCTGAAGGGAGCTTGATTGATTCATTGATCTAACCTGATTGGCTCGTTGTGAATCCTGTGATCGATCGGGGAGGTGGTGAATGAAACTGTTACGAGGTTAGCCATTGACCGCATGGCATTCCAGTAAGGCCACTTGTGCAACTGAATGTGGTGCATCTATCTGCAAGTGCAGCGACTCTGACTACCACTTCTCAATGCACTCATCTCAATCACCTCTCCTAACTGCATTTCAATCAGAGCTCAATCCTGCATGGTTTACTCTCTCTCTAGACATCTGTGTGACGTCATGTAGTATTATGTCATCTCTGTGTCATGTGTCAGCCAGTAGCTACATTCTTGCACCTTATTAGTGATTGGGCATGCTGAAGCATGAGTGCTATGTTAGCGCTAGTGGAGAGGGGATTATAGCTGTCTGTTTCTCATGCTCGATGGTCACTTGTGCCGACAGGTTTGCTGAGTTCATATTTAAATCAGAGCTTTGGACCAAAAGAGGCCGCAGCCATCTTGTTTCTAATGTGATGCAACCACGATGAGAACAACAAAACTAAATCTGTAAATTTAAAGGAAAAGGCTTCTCCTTGTTCTGATTTCTGTGAAGAGGTGTCCCTTGACTTCACTTTATTGATGGGTTTTGGTTCTGGATGGTGTGTGTCGGTGCGCTTCGAGGTGTTTCTGGTGTGTGACACTGATCTGAAATGCCTGGCAGTGTTTCACAGCCATGGTTCGGTTTGTTTTCAGTACTTTTCTTTTGTTTTGTTCCTTTTTTTGTTTTGTTTTTGTTTTTTTGAGGAATGATATCTGCATCCCCCCCATCCTCTCTGCCTCTTCTCTCTCTGTTCGCACCATTCATCGTTTCTCCATCGCTGCTCTGAGTTAGACTCGTCGTAGGCCAGCGGTTGGATGTGTTGAACGTGCGTTGCATCTTTTTGTTTGTGGAACTGCACATGCGGATGGAGCGTTCACCCTCTCTGTGTCTTTTCATGTGGACTGGCATCTCCCTCTGCATCCCTCTGTTTCTGTCTTTTCTCTGTCGTTCTCCCTCCTCCTGTATGACGTACTTCTGTCGGGAGGGCTTTTCTTCTTCGTCTCGCTGCATCTGGTGCTTGCTTAATGGTTCGTTCTGCTCACCTCTGGTGATGTGATGCGCTCCTGATTGGCTGTCTGTGGTTTGTGTATGAACACTTCGATTAATGTTTTATTTTTTTTGTTTTGCATCGTGTGCAACTGATGAATCTGCTGCTTAATTCAACTTCTTCTTTTAGCAGAAACAAACGGTGATCTTGGATTTCTTTTAAAACCCCTCAAATGTTTGAACTCCTCTGTTCTGTGTGGCTGCATTGTTTGTGCACAAAACTGCCTGACGACTCGCCAGGATCCTTTCCTATGTATGGCTCCTTCAAAATAAAGCGCATGCATCAAATACCATTGCTGCCCATCAACAGAATTAACCCCAGTCATGATGAGTTAAAAAAAAAAAATTAGACGTTTGATGGCACTTTACACGAAAAGCAGACGAGTTCCGCTTTGGAAAGATTTGGATTATGCGACGATTATATTTCATTATATTTCCACAGTAATTGTGTATCTACCAAAATGTGTTAAATGAGCTTTGTTAACCTTTTGTCTGATGCCCAGGTCAATAACGCCACAGCCAGAGTGATGACAAACAAGAAGATGACCACGCCGTACTCTAACGGGGAGGGCATCGCCGCACTGCCATACGGTAATAACTCACATCACGTGTGGCACATTCATACAATTCAATTCAGTTTATCTGTAGAACGCCAAGTCACAACAGAAGTCGTCTCAGGGCACTGAACAGAAACAGAAGCAGGGACGAGACACTCTTAATGTAGTTTTAAAGAAATAAAACTTTACCACAAACTCAACGGACTGCTCTCTCCTGATCTCTCACAAGCCTGAAACATATGTGACCTTTGAACTTTTCATTAAGGCTTCGTGACCTTTGACCTCATGGGGTCAAACTTATTTTCACAAGGGTCCAAAACCATGGGTCAGTATCCATCCATCCTTTATCTTTATCCACTTGCTGGTGCCTGTTTTGTGCAGTTATTGTGTGAGAGGTGGGGGGCACCCTGGACAGGTCTCCAGTCCATCACAGGGACACATGGAGACAAACGAGACAAACAACCATTCACTCTCACTCACACCTAGAGACAATTTAGAGTTAACAATCAGCCTAACATACATGTTTTTGGTCTGTGGGAGGAAACTGGAGTACCTGGAGAAAACCCACACATGCACGGAGAGAACATGCAAACACCACCCAGAAAGGTCCTCGGCTGGGATTTGAACCTGTTACCTTCTTGCTGAGAGGCAACAGCTGTACCGACTGAGCCACCGTGCCATCACATTTTTCAAAATGGATGGATGGATGGATGGATGGATGGATGGATTTGCAACAATTTTAATATTTGTTAAGTTCACATATTCATGTAGAAATGTGAACTTAACTTTTCTCTAAATAAGATCTTTTAACAATCAGAACAAGCGTTAACTGGATCTTATTTAACTAAGAGTCTTTAATTAATTTCTTAAGTCTTCCTTTTTAAATCATTGTCTTTTTTATATACAATAATTTTACCACAGCCCATAAAAACATTCAAACATTTCACCTTTAAATTACAGAGGAAAAATCAGAAAATGATGAGATAAATAAAACCGATTCAGACTCAGGTGTTCTCTGACAGGTGTGACGTTTTGTTTTCATCAGAGAAAAGTTGCTGCTACTGGTAAAACCAGAAATATTAAATGGTTTGTGTGGAGAGGAGAGGGGGCTCTCAGTAAATGATAGACAGATTTTATTTAATCTCCTTGAAGTTTAGATCAACTCGTTTCCTCTCGGTGGATTAACGAGCATGAGGATGCCGTGCTGCAGCTTGATATTACTTCAAATCTTTGACGCTTCACTACTGTCACATCTTATGGACTGACATCTCATTACACCCCTATGAAGATGTCTGTAAATTATGCTAATTTAACCCAAAGTGTAATTAAAAATTCAATAAACTCTAGCCTTATTAAATGGTCATATCAATTAACTCTGGAAAAACAAATCAAGATAGAAAAAAATGTTCTGTTTAAAGTGTTGTACAAACTGTTGCTTTATTTTATGTATTCTCTTAAATAGCTGGTTGGAAGTTGAGCCCCATGGTTGGAGCCATGTACAGTCCTGAGCTCTATACAGGTAAGAGTCGTGTTTATTCTTACCAGACTGTAACAAAGGTTCAGCTCAACAAATTGTATTTTTGTCATTTATTGGGTAGAGCAAAATGTTGGATTACTGCTGATAGCGTCTGACAAAATGTCTTCTGTTTTTATTCTCTTATTTTAAATGGTTTAAAAACATATTTTCTTCCAGTCTTTCAATTTGAACAAAAATGTTGCGATATCCAAAGCGCACCACCAGGTGGCAACACATCAAACTTAATAAATCAAAAATACAGATGAAGAACATTCTTAGCTTTGGTAAAAAATATTAACATGAGAGTTGTACCTCTTTTTATTCTTATGGTGTTTATTACAACGTCCTTTCAGTTAACTGTATTAGCACATGGGGATCGTCAGTCCTCGTGCTGATCAGACTGATTTTTATACTGTAATACAGATGTTTGGTTGAGAAAGCAGCAACAACCTAACCAATGGTGTCATGCCACAGTGTAGAGGTTGAATATTAGCTAAAGTTGAGCTCTTCCACAATTGTGCCTTGTTTTTAAGTAAGGAGTGGATACATCCAACATACAGTGCCTTGCTAAAGTATTCGGCCCCCTTGAACTTTTCAACCTTTTGCCACATTTCAGGCTTCAAACATAAAGATATAAAATTTTAATTTTTTGTGAAGAATCAACAACAAGTGGGACACAATCGTGAAGTGGAATGAAATTTATTGGATGTGTCAAACTTTTTCAACAAATAAAAAACTGAAAAGTGGGGCGTGCAATATTATTCGCCTCCTTGCGTTAATACTTTGTAGCGCCGCCTTTTGCTGCAGTTCCAGCTGCAAGTCTCTTGGGGTTTGTCTCTGTCAGTTTTGAACATGGAGAGACTGAAATTCTTGCCCATTCTTCTTTGCAAAACAGCTGGAGCTCAGTGAGGTTGGATGGAGAGCGTTTGTGAACAGCAGTCTTCAGCTCTTTCCACAGATTCTCGATTGGATTCAGGTCTGGACTTTGACTTGGCCATTCCAACACCTGGATACGTTTATTTGTGAACCATTCCATTGTAGATTTGGCTTTATGTTTTGGATCATTGTCTTGTTGGAAGATAAATCTCCGTCCCAGTCTCAGGTCTCTTGCAGACTCAAACTGGTTTTCTTCCAGAATGGTCCTGTATTTGGTCCCATCCATCTTTCCATCAATTCTGACCATCTTCCCTGTCCCTGCTGACGAAAAGCAGGCCCAAACCATGATGCTGCCACCACCATGTTTGACAGTGGGGATGGTGTGTTCAGGGTGATGAGCTGTGTTGCTTTTACACCAAACATATCGTTTTGCATTGTGGCCAAACAGTTTGATTTTGGTTTCCTGTGACCAGAGCACCTTCTTCCACATGTTTGGTGTGTCTCCCAGGTGCTTGTGGCAAACTTTAAACAACACTTTTTATGGATATCTTTGAGAAATGGCTTTCTTCTTGCCACTCTTCCATAAAGGCCAGATTTGTGCAGTGTACGACTGATTGTTGTCCTATGGACAGACTCTCCCACCTCAGCTGTAGATCTCTGCAGTTCATCCAGAGTGATCATGGGCCTCTTGGCTGCATCTCTGATCAGTCTTCTCCTTGTTCCAGATGAAAGTTTAGAGGGACGGCCGGGTCTTGGTAGATTTGCAGTGGTCTGATACTCCTTCCATTTCAATATGATTGCTTGCACAGTGCTCCTTGGGATGTTTAAAGCTTGGAAAATCTTTTTGTATCCAAATCTGGCTTTAAACTTCTCCACAACAGTATCTCGGACCTGCCTGGTGTGTTCCTTGGTCTTCATGATGCTCTCTGCGCAGAACCCTGAGACTATCACAGAGCAGGTGCATTTATACGGAGACTTGATTACACACAGGTGGATTCTATTTATCATCATCAGTCATTTGGGACAACATTGGATCTTTCATAGATCCTCACTGAACTTCTGGAGTGAGTTTGCTGCACTGAAAGTAAAGGGGCCCAATAATATTGCACGCCCCACTTTTCAGTTTTTTATTTGTTAAAAAAGTTTGACACATCCAATAAATTTCATTCCACTTCACGATTGTGTCCCACTTGTTGATTCTTCACAAAAAATAAAAATTTTATATCTTCGTTTGAAGCCTGAAATCTGTCCCTCCTCAGAGACGGGCAGATTGGACGCGGCTGGACGGGGTCGAGTTGGCTGTTTCGAGTTGAGCAAAGAGTAGCGCCACGCTGAAGCTATGGAGCTCGAATGTCCAACGTAAAACTAACTTTACCGCGGTTTAATGTGGCGTTGTGGCTCTGCAGACATTGCACGTTGCCGTCTTGCTTTGTGGTGTTTTTAGTGTAAAATACTTCCTTATTACTCTGGGTTCATGAGACACGCCTCCGTTCAGGAAATCCATTCTATAGTTTGAAGCCAACGTGCATCATGGATCGGAAATATCGGCAGGTTGGATCGGAAAAATCCAATACGTAAATTATGCTGGTATCAGAGGCCGATACTGGATCAGATCAGCCCCATCCCTAACACATACATACTGAAATACTCAAGTACATACATACATAAGTACATACAAACATACATACTGTACATACATACATACATGCATACATACATACAGTACATACATACATACATACATATATATATATATACATACTAGTATTTTCTAATTATACAAAAAATACATATGAAATAATCAAAAAGAAGCAGAATACACAATTTTGAAAAAGGACAATATGCGCAAGATGGTAGGGAGTACTACAAGAGTTGTACTATTCTATAATATAATGTATAGTATATAATACTATACTGTCTTCTATGTAATACTATACTACTATAAGACTTGTTTTATAAGTCCTCTGTCACTGCTCCATTGATTACTTTGTGACAGAACATCACTTCCAAAGTCCTCAGTTTATCCTTTTAACAACAGCTGGGCAGGTGTTGTCAGTGTTTATTTTAAAGGTGCTTTTTGACTTCCATCAAAGTTCAGTCGGGTCCTCTGGACGGGTTCTTTTTGTTGAAACGTTTCATCTTTCATCCGAAAGACTTCATTAGTCTGAGGAGCTGCAAAAAACTCAGTCTTATAAATATCGAGGCGGGTGAAGGTGCTGTTTTTCAGACTGAGTTTGTTGTGGCTCCTCGGACTGATGAAGTCCTTTGGATGAGAGACGAAACATTTCTACAAAAAGAACCCGTCCAGAGGACCTTTGATGCTTTTTGACTTGTTCAGTTTTCTTTTTTTCTCCAAGTGTTGAATCAAGAACAGACTGAAGTATCTTTATGTATTAACACTATTGATAATGTTGTAATAAGACCAGCAGCAGCTGACTGTATTTCACTCTTCACCCCTCTCATCTCTGACTCTTTCTGTTAGTTCCAGGCTTTCCTTACCCCGCAGCAGCAGCAGCAGCTGCCGCCGCCACCACAGCTGCAACCTTTCGAGGCACTCACCTCCGAGGTCGAGCTCGGCCCGTCTACAGCGCTGTCAGGGCAGCTGTCCCGCAACCTGCCATCCCCACGTACCCCGGGTAAACACTCCCTGAAAGAAAACCACTTCCAGTAGTGACAAGCAATCTCCAGGCCATGTCGGGTGTCTGTGAAAGCATGGCTTCACTCTTTAGGAGCGTGATTACAACTGTGCATGCTGCGTGTTTCAGTACAGATCTACAGAAATATTGACTCTGACAGTTTGCTGAGCTGAAATACCATTTCCTTGTAACTTTAAAACAGTCTCATTAGAGTTAAACGAGTAGAGTTCGTCTCTCCGACTGCAGTATTAGTAGTAACACTTTAAAGTGAGTGCATCTGTAAACAACGAGGTGGTATTTTGTCTTGCATGTTGCACGGTGTGTAATAATCTCACCCTTCTTTCTCTTCTCTCTCTCTCACGTTCTTTTTGGCACCATTTTCTCACCTCACCCCTCCTTTTACCTCCCAACTCTGTTTGTTGTTTTCGGCTCTGTCCACACGGTGGCACACCACACCTTTTTTTTTTTTATATATATTCTTTTTTATTTTCCCCCCTCATTTTGTTTGCCTTTGCCCTTCTGCCACTGCTCCTCTTTGTCCTCTCGCCTTCCCCTCTCCTGCTGTCGCCTGTCTCCCTCTCAGCGTAATGGCCTATCAGGATGGTTTTTACAGTGCGGCCGAGCTCTACGTAAGTATGCCTGTCTCCTCCACTGCCTCACTCGTCACCGACCATTTCTTCCTCTTGTCTCTGGGTTTTCAAGTGTGAAACGGCGCAGATCAAACCCATAGAGGCGTGTACTTTTTTTTTTTAGCAGTTTTGATTCATGTTATTATGCCTGAACCTGAAATGATGGGTTGTGTACAATATCCTGTGGAGTTATTTTATCAGTAATACTGATCATTTACAGTGAATTAAACATTAACATCATCACTCCCCAGGGCTGTACATGCCTCAATCATTCCCGAGTAGACTCTTCTAGGGTTTGTTTCTGTGCATTTGTACCAATGTGATCATGAGTGTGTGTGTGTGTGTGTGTGTGAGTGTGACCAGGTTGACAATAGCTGTTTCTGTTCTCTCTGTAGACTAGTGTTTCAGGACATTAGTGGCAGATTGCCCCAGGTAGGGTTTTACACTCTGTGTGAGAGCCAGTGTGCATCCTCCTCGTCTCCAATGACTGCGTGCTGCTAGACATTATTGACCATCTGAGATTGAAATGCCTTCTCTGTCTTCTACTAACTCACTGGATTCTGACATGGGTGGAGTTACGGAAGGGGGAGAAAATAATTGGGGCAAAATCGGATTTCTTATCAGAGTGAAAGCAGGATTAGAGGGATCTAGTTACAAAGTCATGCAGCTGAGATCCGGGGAATGCGTATACTGTTAAAAGTTTTAAACCAGCTTTAATTAGTTTATTTTTGGACTTCCAAGATCTCGAGCGATACATCTTCAGTCTCTCTGAAGCTCTGTCTGCCGTGAACTTTTCCTGCATTTTCACCTCATTTTCTGTCTAGTCCTGACCGTGGCAGCAGAAAATGTTTTGAACACCTCAGAGTATGTGATGGAGATTACTGCCAGCTACTACCACCCCAACTTTTCTCTATCCTTAGACCAGGTGTCACCAGCTGACCACGTAAAAGACATGTTTTTGTAATGGCTTCTGTGGGAACCAGCTCAATTCAGGTTTACTTTAAAAGTTTCAGTTGTAGATGTGCACCTAATACCATTCCATACCAGTTTATTTATAGAGCACTTAAAACAGCAACATGGCCAACCAAAGTGCTGTACAATAGAAGCAAACAAGCACAGCGGACAGGAAAACATAAAATATAGATACAAATAGCAGCAGACAATAACTAAACGGCCAACACTGTAGACTACAGACAGGATCAAAACAAATCACACCGTGTCAAAGGCAAGGGAATAAAAGTGGGTTTTCAAGCGAGACTTAAAAACTGTCAGTGTGGGAGCCTGCCTGACATGCAGTGACAACTCATTCCACAGTCTTGGACCTGCAACGGAGAAAGCCCCGTCACCTCTGAGCTTACGACGGGTTCCTGGAACTGAAAGAAGCATCTGGTCTGCTGACCTCAGAGAGCGTGGTGGGACATATGGCTGCAGAAGATCAATGAGATAAGATTGGGCAGAAGTGGTCAGTGATTTAAAAACATACATGAGTATTTTGAACTGGGTCCGAAGGTGAATGGGTAGCCAGTGCAGGGAGGCCAAAACTAGTGTAATGTGCTCTGTATGGCTTGTACCAGTTATAAATTGGGCTGCAGCATTTTGGACCAGTTGTAGACGTGCCATGGAGGATTGATTGATTCCAAACAGAAGCACATTGCAGTAATCGAGCCTGGATGTTATGAACGCATGGATCACTGTCTCAAGATTCTTTTTGGATGGTATGGGCTTCAGCTTAGACAGTCGCCTCAGCTAAAAAGAACAGGATTTAACAATCATGTTTACGAGACTGTTAAGTTTCAAGGAAGGGTCCATTATCACTCCCAGAATAGTGACTCTTTGTTTCTCTAACGGGGCTAGAGATGAAAGGTCGATGCAGTACCATACCATACCATACCACTTTATTTATAAAGCACTTAAAACAGCTACAAGGCCAACCAAAGTGCTGTACAGACAAAACAACAGGTAACACGCAAAGCAAAATACAAAAATGAGGTAAATCAGAACATAGACATAAAATGAGGTAAATCAGAATATAGACATAATGAACGTGCCATTGGGATAGAACAACATGGCTTCAGACTTCTTCTCATTGAAACTTAAGAAGTTTAAAGCCATCCAGTCCCGGATGTCAGCCAGGCAGTTAAGAATAGGTTGAATAGAGCGTGTACCTCTGTACCTCATGGGGAAGTAAATTTGACAGTCATTGGCATAGAAATGAAAGGGTATGTTGTGTTTGCAGAAAATAACACCTAGTGGCAGCAGGTATAAAGAAAAGAGAAGGGGACCGAGGATGGACCCCTGCGGTACCCCCCATTGAAGCGCTGTTGATGCTAAACTGAAATCTTTGATGTTGACACAAAAGATTCTGTCAGAGAGGTAAAAACTAAACCATTTGAAGGCTGACCCTGTGATGCCCACCCACTGCTCCAGCCTAGAAATGAGGATCCCATGGTCGATGGTGTCAAAAGCAGATGTAAGGTCCAACAGGACAAGCAGCACAGAATCATCTGCATCTGTGGCTATGAAAATGTTATTAAAAACCTTCAGTAGAGCAGTTTCAGTGCTGTGGAGAGATTTGAAGCCAGATTGGAATAACTCTAGGTTAGCGTGATCCTCCAAGAAACATTTAAACTGAGACTCAACTATTTTTTCCAGTAGTTTATAGACGAATGGGAGTCTGGAGACAGGCCTGAAGATGGACTAGAAGGACCCAGATTGGGGGGGGGGGGGAATGGGGGGATATGGCTTCATGCTGCACATTACCTGCTTCAGAAAAGACGGAGAGATTAGCTCATAGTGGTCAAATACAGCTGCACATTGAGATGGGATGCACATTTTGAAAAACGTGGACTTAACGCGCGAGTAGGTAGCTGGCCAGCAGCAGGGCCCCTGAAGCACCATGGGTCAGAGAGGCGATGATCAGATCCAGAGCGAGCCCCATAACTCTTGACAGAATAATCCACATGGTGCCTCAGTTTCACAAAAAAACCCGCACGCTTCCCACGATGTCTGCAACGTTTCCTCCAGGGAGAAAGGCCAGGGTCACGTAGAAGGAATGCAGGAATCCTGGACAGAACTAGTGGAGGAGAGTGCTGACCGCTGTACAAAAACTGCGCAGGTATTTCAGCAAATCTGCGGCGCTCCAAAAGTGCCTGACGATCATACTGCAAACATGATTCGGTACACTGCACAAAGCATTGTAAAAATAACAAAAATAGAAGGAAAATAGAGCGAGGGACGGCAAGCCCTACACACCAGCGCCATCTTGAAAGTCATGAATATTTTCTGAGTTTAAGTGAAATTTATCTTGTGGTTCATGAAATATTTTGCTAACACGCACAAACACACAGTTGCTTTGATTTGATTACGATTCAGGGGGCCTCGATGTGATTATTAAACATTTATTGTTTAATTTTCATTTGCTTGAAGGACTATGGCTTATTTTGCTTAAGTAAACACTCATTTATATATTTTCTTATTAAAAAAAAACTTTAGTAATTAAATAAAAAAATTAATTAATTATTTAAAAAGAACTTTTGGCCAACAGTTAGCATAATGCTAGCTTTACATTGAAAATGCCCTAGTAAAGCTAACCCAGTTAGCATCGTTTCTCACAGCAAGTCAAACATTTCAAAGTCATGAGTAAAGACAGTCATAATATGATGACTTCAGCTATTATTTACTGACAAACAGTCTTTAGTTTTCTGTGAAGAACCGATAAAACAAGTGAAAACGCAGCTTTACTGCAATATGTTTCTACTACATGAAGCTACGGCAACTCTGCTAGGACAAACATCAACAACTCTGCTGACTTTCAAAGCACGTACCTTTGGAAATGACCAAACACTGGACTGAAAATGAATGAAAAAGCAGCCAAAGTTTAACAAATATAATTCACAGATTGTCAGAAAACCTTGACCTGGTTGATTTTAGCTGTGTGGAAGCAAAATAAAAAGAAATGATGATTGATCAAGACTTTTGCTCATTACTGTACAATTAAATTTAAATAAACTAAAAAACATGTAATACGTGTCCAGGTAAATTATAAATACCGTCTGTGAGCTAAAGTCTTTCATATTGTAGTTGTCAACTTTTATAACTCATCACTTATTTCTTGTATCAGTTAAATGTAATCATTTATATATATATATATATTTGCTGTTTGTGTTCACAGCTCATTAGAAACAAACAAAAAAAAACAAAACAGAAGTTAAAAAACAAAACAGCAGTTTTATTTTCCAACCATCAAAATTCAGTCATTGGACAAATGATCATTCGGACCTTTAAAACGTTACATAATCATCTTTTTGTGTTCATTGTGTGCTATAAATAAAGAATGAACATCTGAACTGTGGGACGGTTTCTGTGATGAGAGCTGCCTGAAACGCATAAATTTAGAGCCTCGTCTATGGTCAAAGTTCAGTTAATGAACACAGTTTGGTGTTTCCAATCTTTACTCATCTGTAAATTCTTTATGGAGAAGCGTGAGAAGCGAAACGTTTGGGGAAAGTTCAGTCTGGGTGATGTACAGAGTGTAGTCTGCAGTCTGAGGCCGATCTGGAGTTAATTCAGACCCCTTCCAGGAATCTCCCGATGTGTTTCACCTGTGGCATGCTAACTGAATCAGTGTCAGCATGCAGACATACTCACAAGGCTGACCCCCCCCCCCCCCACTACCTCCTAGCTCCTCTCTTCTTTCTGTCCTGAAAGTCCCTTTTATGCCACTTTTTCCGTTCTCTTCACCTTTTTCTTCTCTAGTTATCAAATAGATACTTCAGATCTTTAGAAGTGGGGAAGGGTTATGAACAACTAACATCTTACCTGTTCTAGATAGCTGTTTGAACCTCATTTTGTAGAAATAGTTTTATTCTGACTGGATTGATGAGCTAACAGCTAGTCCAAACAGATTCAAGACGACGCTTTGTAAACAAACCAAATTAATGTTAAAAATCAAAACTTAAGTGTTTTTACTGTGGTGTATGCAGATACAGTTGTATTGGGATGGGCAAAGATTTTCAAATGAATAAAGTTTGTTTAAAATGGAAACAACCCGTAATCGTATTTTATTTTGAAAGGATTTAAAGTGGTCACAGGCAAGAGTCTGTGCATCCCTGTCCACGTCGAGGCATCAAATCGAGTGTAAGTGAAGGAATATAAAGAGCCCCGACTCCGTTAGAGCTTTTTGTTTTTAACTGCAGGATTCATTTATCATAAATATCAGAAGAAAGCTAAATAATTCAAAAAGCACTTTAGCTTAAAACACCTGCCTCTTTTTATAGACCTTAAAAAATATGTACATTTTGCATAACTTATTCCTTTAGGTACGTTATACAAGTCCTACATAAGAACATGATACAGTGACAATAGAAGTTCTTTCTTCTTCATATGTTCCTTAAGCAGCACTGGAAGTGCTACAGCCAGCTGCTGCTGCTGTTTCCACTTGTGTAACTGTTTCATCGTCTCGCCATCGACCCGTTTCTTCAACGATCTGAGCCTGAAGGTGTCATCTAGATTTTTGCTTTAGCTCCTCTCTTTTTGTTTTATTATTATTTTCTTAGGTTTTTCTTCCTCTTCTCTTCATTTTGCAGCTCTTCCTTCTCCTCAGGCCCCCCCCCCCCCCCCCTTACCCAGTCCAGCCTTCCTCCCATAGCAGCCAATGTGTGGTCCTGAATGCAGGGACTTGGTCGTGACTGATTCTTTAGGGTAGAATGCAGTGGTGTGTTTATTCTAATTTGATTTTGTTTGTTTTTGTTATTCCGTAGGGTTTTTGTTGACCTAATACTTGTTCTGGATTTGGGATAGCATGCTGTGTCTGTCAGTGATTGGTTGCTGGCCACGTGAGAGTGTGCGTGTTTGCTCCTCTTTAATCCAACTGGCTGAATGTCTTCTTACACCTGTAGTTTTTTGGTGTCTGTTCACCTGCTGATCATTGAAACCTGAATAACGACACCATCATCTTGTCCTCCCCCCCTCCCCCCGTCCCCTTCCTCTGACCGTGTGTCTTTGGAAGGGAGCGGTGGTTGGACGTGGTTATGGCGGTGAAGCCTCTCTCCCTCTCTGTTTAACTCGATGAGGTACGATGAAGCACGTCGGTGCTGCAAACGGTAAAAGCGCCTCACATTCGATTCTGGGTCTTTATTTCGCTGAGTTGGTCACAGAGTGAGAGAGCCGCTCGGAGCCCGTGTGAATGCTGCACCAGATTAGCCGGTTTTGCTGACTGTCTGCTTGTTAATATTTCGCTCTTCTCAGCAGTTCCCCTCACAGTGTAACCCTTCATTCACTGCTAGTCTTTGCTCTGCAGAGAAACCCGTAGGGAGAATTGAACAAGTTGTTTTCTTTATGCTTCTTTCCTCCTTTGCCTTCATTTTCTCTGTGTCCTCTTCCTTCCTGCTTTTGCCCATCTCCCTCCTCTTCCTCGTGCACTCGCAGGGTGGCTATGCAGCGTATCGTTACGCCCAGCCAACTGCTGTAGCGACTCCTGCAGCAGCAGCAGCCGCCGCCGCCGCCGCAGCGTACAGTGACAGGTCAGTAAACTTCACCTTCTTCACGTCAGTGACGAGTCAGGACTGTGAGCAGCAGTTATCAGCGACACCATCAGTGAGTCCAGGCGAAGCTCAGCTTTAAGGAATGCATGTCGCCCGCCGCGTTTCATGACAGGTTCACTCCAAGTTCATTAGCTGGAAATGATGTGCCACATTGAGACATCTGTTGGTGCTCAACACGTGTGCTGGGAACGACTCTCAGCTACCTCGTTTGAACTCAAACCTGTGAAGTTGACTGAGTTCTAGCCACTTTTTGTCTGTAGTCAATTATCTGCAACGATAAGACAGTGAGTGAATCCTCACTAGACAAAAGATCTGACTGATCATTTTTGTCCCATCGCAGAGCAAATTGGAATTATGGTACCCTCCATCCGTTCGTCTTGTTAGCATAATAACTTTAAAAATAAGAGAGGTACCGACTTCAATTTTGGTGTGTGGCTGCATCTTGGCGTACAAAATGTTCTTATTGAAAATTGGCTTGCCATGTTAAAATTCAATATGGCAGCCGCCAGCGTACGTACAGACCCTTTCCAAAAAATTAGAATATCATGGAAAAGTTGTTTTAACTTCCATAATTCCATTCAAAAAGTTAATATTTAATCGATGATAGATTCAGGGCCCACATTTTAAACGATTTCAAGTATTTATTTGTTTATTTTTACATAATTTGTGCTTCCAGCTCATGAAACCCACGAAAACAGGATTTCAAAAAATTAGAATACTGTGAAGACATCAGTCCACACTACTTCTCAGTTTTTGCAGAAAAAAAAGAAATAAATTAGGATCACAACAAATCAATCAAAATATGGTATTTTCAAAACAATATGTCAATCTTCAATACTTGGTTGGAAATTCCTTTGCCTTAATCACTGCCTCGATGTGACGTGGCATTGAAGCAATCAGCCTGTGGCATTGACTGGGAGTTATGGAAGTCCAGATTTCCTTGATGCTTGCTGTCAGCTCTTCTTTGTTGTTGGTCTGGTGCCCCTCCCTCATTTTCCTCTTGAGAATACTCCATAGTTTCTCAGTGGGGTTTAGGTCCGGCGAGTTGGCTGGCCAGTCGAGCACTGTGGCATGGGCAGGGGCCAGGTCCTGCTGGAAGATGAAATCTGCTTCTCCATCTCATTATTTACAAAAAAACAGACCAACAAAACATCGGGGCATATATTATGCTCCTACAATTTTTCATACAGCAAATAAGTCACAGGAAAAACTAAACTATTAGTTTTTATTATTAAGCTACAAAATTGAAAGAAACGTGCAGCACGTCAAAAACGAAACTAAAAACAGTGGGGCAGACGACCACCCCGCACCACCGCCAGCTGTGGTTCGCATTAAGTTTAGTTTTAGAGATTCATATGTTTATAGGTTTTTTTATAGGTTTAGAGATTAATATTTTCTTCTTTTTGTTTGTGAAACAAGGTCAGAGGAAGCTGGTTCTGGTTCGGTTGATTGGACCCGGTGTTACACCATAGTATGTGACCTGCAACAGTGCATGCAACACCGCCCCCTACGGTCACAAAATATGGTGTAACACCGGTTCGCAACGCGCTCCAAACAGTCAGAAAGTTGATTCATTGTCTGTTTCCTTACAGTAGTTGAACCAGAAGATTCATCTTTAGTGAAATATTTCCATACTATTGATGCATTTCTACCTGTTTGTCAAAACTGGGTCTGCTCTGCTCCATCCGTCTGCTTGGAGGAATCCATTTTGTAACCTGCGCCCGGTGCGGATCACGTGATGCGAAACAATGGCCCCCCAACAGCTGTTTGGGGGCCATGGCATGAAAAAGTTTGGGAACCCCTGAACTAAGATATATGCTAAACGAACGCCCAACTAACTGTACACTGAAAGAGCTGAGATATACGCCAGTCACTAATGGTGCAAAACAATACAGTGAACAACGATTGTCATCGGTTCGGTTCAGCTATAATTTACACCCTAATGTGAGCGGAGTTGGGCTCGGAGACGACCCCAAAACCAACATAAACTGGGATTTATTCAGCGCATGCAACAAAAATACAGAAACAAGGCATCAAACCTATAAAAGAAACAAATCTACAGCAGCATGATGCTATTATACTTGATCATTTATTTATTGAAAAAAATGATCCAATATTACATATTTGTGAGTGGCATAAGTATGTGAACCTCTAGGATTATCAGTTAATCTGACGGTGAAATTAGAGTCAGGTGTTTTTAATCAATGTGATGATGGTCAGGTGTGAGTGGACACCCTGTTTGATTTAAAGAACAGGATCTATCAAAGTCTGCTCTTCACAACACGTTTGTGGAAGTGGATCGTGGCACGGCATGGTCATATTTATGCACAAATACAGAACAATCTAAAGGGTTCACAAACTTTCAAGCACCACTGTATGTAAACCATACAGCCCGATCATTGAGAAAACTATGATTTGTAGTTATATTGCTTAAAATTTAAGTTTCCTCAAATGATCGGGTGGCCGTAGATTAATTTATGGTGGCCAAGGCCACCACTGGCCACCCCCTGGCTCCGCCACTGCACCTGGTGGTGGATAAAACTGCTCCCTCTGTTCTCCACATGTAGCTCCTGTCCTATTGAACGTCTCGCACCAGAAACTTTAAAGTTTACTCTCATTCTCTGTTCAATTCCAGTCCAGAAAAACGCTCATCTCAAAAACCACAAACATTAACTATTCCAAACGTTCAGCATTGGGTGACGTCGGCGTGTCGCTTGCTTTAGACGTTTTGGGCCGCTGCCCTTCCTCAGACTAACTCTGAATACAGTCGCCACCTTTGATCTGATGCGTTTTTCTTTTGTTTCTCTGTTTTTTTAATGAACAAAAGTAACTCGTTTGTTTTTCAGTGACAGCCTGCAGATCTTAAAACAGGTGTGTCATGAGAATTAATTGCAGGTATTCAGATATGGTTTGTGTGATGAGGGGCTGTGTCCTTATGAAGACTTTGGGTTTGGCATTCCTTCTGGTGGAGCTGCGTGTTTTTCCATCTGCTAATTGGCACCAATGATTTCTGTCTCATTAAAACGAATCCACTGATTAATGTGATGTTTTATCAACAAAACAAAAAGAGTTCAAGTTTTCAATGTCTGGCACAGTCTCAGCACTCAAAGTATGTATTAAGGATGACTCTCAGCTACTACCACACCACACAATATTTGTAGAATTGTGAGTTTCAAGCATTTTACTAAAGCTGATTAGCTGTAGCGGCCATCTTTAACCGTGTTTGGCCCAATCGGAGCAGTAAATAGCCGATAATCAATTTTTCTTATTTTTTTTCTAACAGCTATGGACGAGTTTACACGGCAGACCCCTACCATGCTGCTCTCGCCCCTGCTGCCTACGGTGTTGGAGCCATGGTGAGTTCATTCAGACGTGAACCAATCATCTCACTGTTTTCGTCCAGTCGGTCTCTGATTGGTCAGATGTTATGAATGATTACGTTCAACTACCAGTGGTTCAGTTTTTGTGTTTTTAAGCAGAAATTTTTGAACAAAGTCGAGTCCCATCTTTTATTTGACAATAAAAACAGGACGTTAAAGCTACAGACTGGATGTGATGCTGGAAGACTGATCATAGGAGGATTTACTGGAGACCTATAGTGTTGTACAGGACCCACCACCTGCCAGTTAGGTGGAGCTGATTCATTTATTCAGAACTGGTTTAACTACGGGACACTAAGCTTCAGTGCATACCATAATTAAACGTGTGCATCATGTTTTAAAATGTCTTCCGTCTGCTGCAATCATCCATTAAAGTGAAGTTCTTAATAATCATTGTCAGTCTGCAGTCAGACATAACCTGACATTAACTGACAAGGTGGAATAAATACAAGTGTTTCTTATTAAAAACCCTCAGAGTTGCAGCACCTTTAAAGTAGTATTCTGTCTTAATGCTCTGTTTGAAATCATCATATTGTATTTCTACATTACTCATGTTGTTTCTCGAGTGCAGTGCCTGCGAGAATCAGAATGTTTTTGTAGAGAGATGGCAAGAAGTCGAGCACAAGTACCATACTTGCTGCCGTACACGTCGCACCACCATATAAGCCGCATCGGTCGAATTATGTCTAATAAAGTGGAAAAAAACATAAATATATCGCTTCGCTGTATACATCACATCTATTATGCGTCACCGCTGACAACCCGGAAACGTGGTGCCGGTGTTGTGCCAAAAATCTATTGGCTGCCAAATGGCGGCTGCGGAAGCGTTCACAGGAGGACTTTAACAAGAGTTTAACAAGATTAACACTTAAAAACATTGATTTGTATGCTCGACATTATAGTAAAGGTGTGTCTCAGTCTGACTTTTCCTTAATAAATGCACTTTGACGGTCAAATCATCTGCATTTCGCCTGGGTGGCGCGGCAAAATGCAGATGATTTGACATTTGCTCCAGGAGTTCCAGAGCGAGATGAAGGTGGCTTTGTATGGCAAGCCAAATGTCTCATTAATAGCCACTTTTACTTACTGTATTAATGAGACTCGTGGCTTTCCATATTTGTCGAGGGCCCTCTAGTTGCTGAAAATGGTAGTGTTCAATATTTTCTATGTCAGAATGAATGAAATCGCCAGATTCCAGCCAAACTTTGGGTTATAAATATGGTAGAAAAAACATATATTAGTCGCTTCGCTGTACAAGTTGCAGGCATGCTAATTTATGCAAAAAGCTACGACTTATACAGCAAAAATCACGGTAGTTTACAGCATCAGGTTGATGTCACCGATGACCTACTCAGTGTCTCTACTGCTGCTTCACATTAACATGTTGCAGTCTATAGATAAATAAAAGCACTACAGAAAACACAAATACTCTCAATGATAAATCTACTTACATCAATTATAAACTGAGCTAAAGAGGTTGTATTAGTGTTACTGTGTTGTATTAATCGACTACTTCGCTGTACTAACTTAAAACTATAGTTCAGATCATTTGAAATTAAGCTCTGTTGAAATGTTATAATCAGTAAATATCTCACCTGTTGTAGATCGCTCTTTGGATAATCTCAGTTTAGAGAAACAAAAGTTTAATTCTGACCCGACGGATGAACCACTGGCTAATTTGGCGCAGCTAAAACCGTGGTAAAATAACTTGTGTTAAAATACCTCACATATCAAATATTTTATAGCAACTCGTGTAAACACTACATTATACATTTAGTCACTTGATTTAATATTTAGCGTTAGTGTTATTTAGCATATAACTCTGCAATCATGTGTAAATAGAGGCAGCAGCAGCTAGCTGTTGCACTTCTGGTGCAGCCTGGGACACTTCCTGCAGGAATATGAGTCATTCTGCTGGAACAAGCGTGTACTGTGGAAATGACTGTGATTTAACTGTTTATAAAACCGTGATAGCAAGTAAAAAAAAGCTTCCCTAACTGAAGTTGTTCTAAGAGCTATCCACAACAGATAAGATACTATTTGTTTATAAAATGTTGAACTTTAACACTTTGACCACACTGTAATCATTTTAAAGTGTTTATCTCGTAAGGAATGTCATTTATTCAGACCTTATTGTGATTCTGAGGATTATTGTCTCAGCATTTACCTTAAAGACTTAATGTGTGTCTGATGCAAATCTAACGCATGTCGTATAAATGTTTAATTTTAAAAGGACGTTCAAAACTCATTTATTTATCCCTCAGTTCTCTGCCTCCTTCAGTTCTGGTCACATAAAGTCAAAGTGAACAGGCCTAATATGTGATTTGTTTTGTATATTTTTGTGATTTATTGAATTAAAGTTGCATTCTGAAATAAATGCAAGTAAATGTTTGTTTTTGTGTCTCTTAGGCCACGCTGTACAGGGGAGGCTACAGTAGATTTGCCCCTTACTAAAGACACTACATTTCCCAGGAGCTCCTCTCTCTCCCATTGAATTATTCAGAAAGAGCTCCCTCTGTCGTCTCGGAGGAGGACTGCACCCCCTTTTTATAAAGCGTGGAAACGACCACAACAAAGATATTTCAGATCCCACCCCAGAGCAGTCCCATGTTATCTTATATAGGCTTCTACAGAAATAGAGGAATGCTGTATTAAAGACTGATGGATGGCCTCTGCATAAAAAAATAACAAGGAAAGAATTTAGACTGAACATGGCCACCTTCCTTATTGCACGGCTGTATTATAGTCTCCCCCTCTTCCCCCCTCGACACTCAGCAGCACAAGATTTGGGGGCGGAGCCCAGATGTTCTTCCAAAGGCTGGACGTGGAAAACTGACGTTTGGACTTTTGAGCGCGCTCCGCGTTTGAGGAAAAACAAGAGGGAAGGTGTCAAAAAAAGAGAACATCCAAGCGGTAAAGAGAAGGAAAGGCGCCTCGACAGAGAGCAGCAGGAAAACTTTTTTTATAGAAAGCGGCTGGATGAGTGAATAAGACGTAAAAGCAGCTCGGTGGATGCAGCGCTGGGCTGCGCTCTGAGGCCGAGCTCGGAGAGACGATGGAGAGCAGGAGGAGGGTCAGAGCTGTTCCTTACCTCAACTTTTCTTAGTATGTGGAAACAGTAAACCTTTAAACCTAAAATTGTTATGATATGCAAAGAAATTAGTTTAGAGAGAAGAAAAAACAAATTATTGTTATTATTATTATTATTACTGTTGTAATTATTCTCATTATTATTATGGAAAAAAAACATTTAGTTTGCCTCAGCAGTCACTGCTGCGGTGGAGTTTCATCCGTCAACCTTTAGGGTTCAAATCATAGATTTTACATCTATAGTACAAACAGTCCACGTATAAAACACGTCATGTTCCTGGTCACACACACACAGCTTCACTGCAGTGTGTGTGTGTGTGTGTGTGTCACCCTAACACTACAGAGAGCGACACTACACGGCAAACATTTCTCGTTTACATGTAAAAAGATGAATCACCTTCAGCCCCGGAGGCTCCGGGTGTTCGCTCGTTCTTTAACGTAAGGAGACACGGTTTGGAGTTCCCTCTCACGCTTCACCTTTTTATAGAGTCCAGCGATGGACGAGTCTTCCTGAAACACTTTGAGACGACGTGGCCGACGGCTGAGCAGGACCGCTCGGCGACTCCTTCTGACGACTTAAATGCAAAACGCATCACTTATCGTGCATATTTCTATTCTTCTTGTATCGATTTCCAAGATGTGGCTTTAATTTTGATGTTTTGTTTTTGTTCCAAAGATTTGTAGAAAGCACATTTTTCTGCCGTTAGAAAAAAAAAAGTATGAATATATATATAAATATATATTATCTGTATTATTATTATTATTATCATCACAATCCTATAACTGTCCTTATTTAGTTTTTTCATTGTCTGCTTTGTTTTTTAATATGTGTGTGTGTGTGTCAGTGCACGTTTTTGTTTCAGGTTACATTGTGGGGACCGAGTGCTCCTTGTTCATTCAAGCTTTATTTATACAGTTTAATCCCATTGAGCCTCTGGGACTCATTTACAAGAGAGACCTTTGACCAGACCAAAGCCAGGTCCCCATAAGGAGAAGTCTCATTGGGGGGAGTTAGGATTACTAGTGTTGCCTAGTACTAGTTATGTTTAGGGAAAGGGTCAGTGTTAGGCTATAGAAAATGAATAGAAGTCAATGTAAAGTCCCCAAAATGTAAGTTTACAAGAACGTGTGTGTGTGTGTTCAGTAAGGTGCAGATTTTAAATTTTTCTTTACATTTTTCATAAAACTGTCTGAGCTGAGACCATCTCTGAGTACCGGTGTTTAAAAAAATTATGCAGTTAAAATCACCTCTTTTTTTTTTCTCGGTAATTTTTAGTGAGTTCAATTTTTATTTTTTTAAATATAAGTATTTTTTGTTGTTTTTGCTTGTCATAGGATCCATCGCCAGCGTGACGTTAAATTATATTCCACAATTTACAAAAACCAGCTGGATTTGTTTTTCTTTCCGTGTGCGTGTGTGTGTGCGTGCATGTTTTTCAGGTGAAAACATTTGAATCGTGGCACTTTGGTTCAGATCAGCTGTGTTCCTCTTTTTTTACTGCCTGTCTTTTTCTTTTTGAAACCATCTCCGTACATTTCAGTGGGTAACTGTCAGCCTGATCCGTGCGGTTGCTCCGGGTTTGTTCGAAGACAACGCAGTAAAACGAAACGTGTTAAACACTCGCAGGACCAAACTCCGGCCTGATACAAAAAACAGTTTTTAAACTCTTTTCGTTGTATTTTTTTTTCCCGTTTTCACTCAAACATTTAGGACAGTTTATTATGATTTTGTTTGTTTTGCTGTTAGTAAAAAATGTTTTCTGGACTAAATTTAAAAAGGAATGAAAGAAAAGGAAGCAGCCAGAGATGTTGGGTTTCCAGCATGTTCTGGTTCCCCAACTGGAAAAGTGATAGAAAAAAAAATAATCAAACAAGTTTTAAAAGAAACGACACAAAGAAGAACTCTTGGAGCCACTGAAGGCATGGACAAACCAGCATGAGTGACAATTACAAAGTTTTAAAAAAAGTTTTGCATGAATCTGTTGTCTTGGGGAGCAGCAGAGCTCAGCTGCTTGTTTTTACCACTAAAAGGAGCACACAGCCGTTTGGCATAAATGGCCTCCTGACAAGATGGCCGCTGCAAAAAATAACATTTGGCAGCTTGTTTGTTCCCGGTCATGGCTTTCTTGCCCCTGTAATATAGAAAACTTTGTGGTCATTCTTTCTGGTTTCTTAATGATCAGTCCCTCCGTCCTGTCTGTATCCCTCTGATCGCCATTCTGTTTGGTTTTTTGTTTTGGTATTGAATGTCGATATAAAACGTTTTATATAAAATGTTTTGTTGTGCTTGAGCTTCCTGTTTTTTGTTTAGTTTTGTCTTAATGCTGGATTTCAGCTTAAAGTGACTGCTAAAATCTGTTAAGTGTTAAAACATCTTACCTGTCGACCTCCATTCAGAGAAATGGTTAATTTTTCACAAGCAGACGGTTAGCATGACTTTAGCTGCTGCGTACTGAAGTGCTAATGCTAGCTGCTGCTGCTACAGAAAACTAAATAATATAAACATTTTGTAATGGAAGTTTCTTTAAGGTTGCAGAAATTCACTTCGATGTGCAACTAAACTAGCTCTTGGCTCGTCCCGCCTGCTGCCCTTATGTCAAAATGACCTCAGAGCTCTCGGTTTTAAAACCATTTAGTGGTAATTTGGTTATTTTTGAAGTGATGGATGTGTCAAATTGTTATCAATATTACCTTATCAGTCGTGACATCAGTTCTGAGAAAAGAGATAGTCTAAATCCAGGCTAGGCTAATAGCTAATGAAACGAGTACTTTTTAAATTTTTTCTCCAGACCTGTTTTATTAGAATACTTCCAGATATTGTATAACAAACACAAAATATTAAATCATCCTTATGGATCACAGTTTATTGGGAATTCATGTATTTAATAAAGTATTTCAGTCTTCAGAACCAAAATGGCGTAAAGTTGCTCGACATGATGGCCCCTCAGGACTTTAGCTGCTATAGTTGTAGCTGCTGTAATTACAACAGCTTTGATAAATCATCATAGATGACCTAAAACTTCTTGTGAATGAGTGTGTACCCCTACATTTCTTGGAGAAGTTTTAAGGTTTATGACAGTGGCTTCCATTCCTGTAACACCATTTATACTGTATTTTTCGGACTAAAAGATTCACACTACAGGAAAAGAAAGCTATAACATAACTCAGCCAGGACCAAAACATCAACATTTTACCAGCTGGTAAAGGAAGATGCACAGTAGTCCTCAACACTTCTTATTACCAGGAAAAGAAAAAAAACCACTACTGAGGGACAGCAACACCTACGAGACCCTGAAGAGGGACCCAACCAACACCTATAAAAAGAAAGTCACAGATTACCTGCAAAAGCTTGAAAAGGAGAAAGCAATCACTTGATCGTTGTATTATAGATTGTACCCAGGGGAAGCCACTCCCTGTCTTTATGGACGTCCAAAAATACACAAAGAAGGAACTCCACTCAGACACATCGTCAGCAGCATGAACTCAGTGACGTAAAATATTGCTAAACATCTGGCTGGTATTTTAGCTCCTCTTGTTGGAAACACACCTCATCACATAAACAACTCCGTTGATTTTGCTAACGAAGCTCAACTTTTGAACCTCACCCCAGGAGAAACCCTTGTATCATGATGTGACTTCTCTTTTCACTTGCATACCCATCTCTGAAGCAGTAGCAGCTTGTCAGAAAACAACTTCTACAAGGACTTAAACAACACCAACTTCACCCCAGACCAGATCTGCACCCTGTTGGATCTCTGCCTCTCCACCACTTATTTCAAGTTCAATGACAGTTTTTACAGACAGAAGCACGGCTGTGCCATGGGAACTCCAGTGTCACCCATTGTTGCCAATCTCTACATGGAGGAAGTGGAACAGAGAGCCCTAAACTCCTATGAGGGAACAACGCCAAGCCATTGGTTCCGATATGTGGATGACACCTGGGTCAAAATCCAAGCCAAGGAAATACAAGTGTTCACCAGACACATTAACTCGGTCGAAAACATCACGTTCATCAGAGAGGATGCAAACGACAACAAGCTGCCTTTTTTGGACTGTTTGGTTCAGATGGAGAGAGAGGACAGCCTCAACATTGAAGTGTACAGAAAACCAACCCACACAGACCAGTATCTTCTGTTTGACTCCCACCATCCACTGGAACACAAACTCTCTGTCATCAGAACTTTACAACATCGTGCCGAATGCGTCCCCACGAAGACAGAAGGGAAGGAAAAGGAACTGAAACACGTTCAAGAAGCTCTTCAAACATGTGGATATACTAACTGGGCTTTTGTCAAGTCAGCGAGGAAATCTACAAAACACACCAATAAACTGAAAAAGGAGAACAACAGATGTAAACATTGTCATCCCTTATGTTGCTGGAGTATCGGAGAAATTCAGAAGGATTTTCGACGAACACAAAATCCCAGTACATTTCAAACCCAGCAGGACTCTCAGACAGATGTTGGTCCAGGACAAAATACCCATACACAGAGTGGTGTGGTTTATGCATTTCAGTGCAATGAGGAATATCCAGATCAGTATATTGGAGAAACCAAACAGTTACTTCACAGATGCATGGCTCAACACAGGAGAGTCAGCTCATCAGGACAAGACTCAGCTGTTCACCTCAAGGATAAGGGACACTCATATGAGGACCAAAATGTGCACATTTCCTACAGAAAAACATGAGGTGTGGAAGAGGTATCACGAGGCAGCTGCTCATGCAGGCTGGAGAACCCTCCGTCCAGGGTACGTCGCTTCTTTTATTGGCTCCGTATGGAAGGTGAGGTGTGTGAATTCCAGCTGGGTTGCGCTGTTTGTAGCCTGCGAAATCAGGAAGGACAGAGAGCCCCATTGCTTCCCATTATAGTGTCATATCCCCTGGAAGTTGTAGCTTTGGACTTTCTTACGTTAGGGAGGCCCACAGACAGATATCAGAATATTCTGGTCATGACAGATCTTTTTACACGTTATGCATGGGCAGTTCCCACAAAAAAAATCAAACCGCTCAGACTGCAGTGCATGCCCTATGGGCTCATGTTATCCAGACATTTGGCTGCCCTGCTAGGTTACACTCAGATAGAGGAGCTAATTTTGAGTCAGTGTTGATGTACCAGTTATGCAGGTGTTATGGCATTACAAAAAGTAAAACCACTCCATATCATCCTGCTGGAAATGGTGGGGTCGAGTGGCTGAATCAGACACTGTTAAACATGCTTCGTTCACTTGAGGCAGAGGGGCAACAAAGGCGGCCAGAATTTCTCCCCGAGCTGTTACAATCATACAATAACACTGTCCATAGTGCCACAGGGTATGCGCCGTCATCCCTGATGTTTGGGAGGCATCTGAGGCAGCCAGTGGGTGTGAACCTTGGTGTTGAACAGGAAACCCCCTTCCAGGACTTGGGAGGGTGGGTTAGGGACCACCATAAAAAGTTATCTTTTGCCTATGAAACAGCTAGGAAGAACATGAGTGCAGCAGCTACTCAAAACAAAAGGGTTTATGACAAGAGAGCACAAGCCCTGCTGTTAGCGTCAGGAGAGACAGGAATAGGCAGGGGCAAGGAAAGCTGCATCCAGGCTGGAGTTCAGGACCACATGTGTTAGAACGTGTTGGTGACACACGCCCGGTGTATAAGGTTGACTTTTTATAACTGTTTATTGTTGTCGCTGTTGTCCATTGTTGTCATCTTTCTTT